GGTCTTCCGAGGTCCCATTTGAAGTCCCTGAAGCCTCACTGGTTCTGGAAACAGGATCTGGTGTTGGGCTGGGCTTTTCCTGTCCTCCAGGACTAATTATGGGATGTAGGTTTTGCACATTCTGGCTTCTTGCTTGGCTTGCTGATGTCACTAGAGGGATGGCATTACTCCAGGTCACACCCAAGAAATGTCCTATTTTATTTTTCTGAACTAGGCTAAATGTTCTCACCTGACCAAATATAGCTTTTGGGGCTCACTCGCCCAAACCGCAGAGATGAAGTGAGACTGCGACTATGGAGCGCCTGGCCCTTTACCCACTCCTCCCTCCTGACCAGGATGCTGCTGGCCGGAGCTGTCTGGATTGTGTGAGGGGCACTGGTAGGGTAGGGGGCTGGAGAGATGCCCCTTGCTTTCCTGCTCAGCCTCACCTTTCTACCCAAGGCTTGACCTCCAGGGGCCTTGGCACACAGGCTGGGCTGTGTGGTGAAGCAGACCCTAGGCACTGCTCCAGCCCCCAACACCACCATGTTATCAGTGCGTCCTCACATGTGTACCTGCCAGTCCAAGTCCCCACCCCTCTCAGGTCATTCCAGGTCATCTCCTCGATGGGCCAAATATCCTAAACAAACACTTGAACGGGGGTCTTCACCAGGTGTTGGGAAAAGCCACAGAAAGACTCTACAATGCCTCCTGCAGCCGACCCCAGGAAAGAGCCTGCTGGTCACAAGGCACATTTGTAGTTGAGGACAGAGGGGCAGCAGAGCAAGAAACAAAGGTTCACCTCATTCTTTCACCAGGAGCCTAAACTGAGGAAAGCAGGACACTCACATTTCTTAGTCATCCCAACACCTTTCTAACTGGCCCCAGCACATTTGTCTTCCAGCATCTTGCTACTTACTGGCCTCCTGACTTTCTGCACTTCTCACGCTGTCAGCTGACTCTTTTGCATTTCCTAGTGAGACTGTCATGAGTCAATGCTAGTCTATTTTTTCAACGTCTGTGTTAATGGGTTACCCAGGTCACATTTATCCACATAGAGCAGCACTTTAAGCTACCCTCCCTCCCCATCCTGTTCCTTATGACTGGGACTGTCTGTGCATTGTAAGACACTTAGCAGCTGCCTGGCCTCTGTGTACTGAAGCCAGCTGTGACAGCCAATAGTATCTATAGACATGGCCTGATACCCCCCGGGAGGCAAAATGGCTTCCACTTGAGAACCGCAGGCATAAATAAGGTCCTGCAGAACAAGGTCAGATCCACCACTGAGTGACACCTCAGCACGGTAAGATTTAATTCATGAAGGATTCAGGAAGATAGTATGGTAAGTTTACAGAGCACTTCGAGAGGCAGTAACTGCAACATAGCAGGAAAGGTATTTTGGGTTTTTTTTGGTGGGACTGGGGTTTGAACTCGGGGCTTTGCACTTGCAAATCAGGCACTCAACCACTTGAGCCACACCTCCAGTCCATTTTTCTCTGGTTATTTTGGAGATGGGGGGTTCGCTAACTATTCGCCTAAACTAGCATTGAATTGAGATCCTCCCAATCTCAGCCTCCCAAATAGCTAGGATTACGGGCATGAGCCACCAGTGCCCAGCTAAGGAAAGGCATTTTGAAATGAGTGCCAGACTAAAGACAAAACTTGTTATTGTCCTATAGAACAAGAAAACTCTGGGATTATATTTTCTCCTGAGCAGAAGAAATCTGTAGACTAACATATAACTTTCAGGTACATTTTCTACCTGTGGTTTTCAAGGTGTGGTCCCCAAAATGGAAGTGTTCGTGTCACTTGGAGACTTGTTGGAAGTGCACACTCTCAGATCCCACTGCAGAGCTACTGAACGAGGCCTCTGGGTGGGGCCCAGCAATGTGTTTTAACCAGCCTGGCAGGTGCTTCAGCTCTCGGCGAAGTTTGAGAGCCACTGTTCTAAATAATCAAATAATCTTTATTTGTGAAACAAATATATATGAAATGACATGAAAAGGACATGCTACTCACCTTTTTGCCTTACTTCCAAAATTTAAATAATTTGTCTGTCTGATATTACCTTTACAGTTTGCTGTTTTGTTTTTCAAATACTCTATCAACTTAAGGCAGTTTTTATCTATTCCTAATTTCCAACCCCCATCCCATCCCACGTCTCCCCATTCACAATACAGACAAGGCACAGGGACTGTGCTGAGGTGTATATGGGATAGGTTTGCTCTCCTCTTTCTATACAGTCAGTATAAGAACACAACCCGTGGTAAGCACCAGGAGGCCCCCTATTTTTCTTTTTTTCTTTCTTTCTTTCTTTTTGATGGGACTGGAATTTAAACTCAGGACTCTGTGCTTGCAAATAGGCACTCTATTGCTTGAGCCACACTTCTAATCCATTTTGCTGTGGTTATTTTGGAGATAGGGTCTGAGAATTATTTGTCCAGGCTGGCCTCGAACTGTGTGATCTCCAGATCTCAGTCTCCCAAGTAGCTAGGATTACAAGTGTGAACTACTTGTCTTTTTAATTTTTCTTTTTTTTTTCTCTTGGCAGTACTGAGGTTTGAACTCAGGCCCTACACCTTGAGCCACTCCACCAGCCCTTTGTGTGATGGGTTTTTTCAAGATAGGTGCCTCAGGCTCCTGACAGATAAACTGCTTTTTCCCATCCATACATATCCATGACAAAGTTTAATTTTTTTTTTTTAGCAGTGCTGGGGTTTGAACTCAGGGCTTCATGCTTGCTAAACAGGTGCTGTACCACTTGAGCCACTCCGCCAGCCCCTCCATGACAAAGTTTAATGTATAAATGAGAAACAATGTGTCAGTCAACTTTTCTTTGCCCAGCATGAAGAACTGGACAGTGGCTGGGCACCAGTAGTTCATGCCTGTAATCCTAGCTACTGCCTTGCCTTTTATGAAAAGAAAATGTCATTTCCTACTCTAGGAATATCCTGGAGAAAGAGGCAACAGTAATGTAATATAAGAAAGAAAGCATTAAGCTGGGTGTCATTGCCTCATGCCTGTAATCCAAGGTACTCAGGAGGCAGAGATCAGGAGGATCGTGGTTAGAAGCCAGCTCAAGCAAACAGTTCACAAGACCCTATCTTAAAAAATCTCATCACAAAAAAAGGCTGGTGGAATGGCTCAAGGTGTAGGCCCTGAGTTGTGAAAGGAATTGTGAAAGGCTACTCTTCTCTTTCTTTCTTTTTTGAGGTGGTACTGGGGATTTGAACTCAGGGCCTCATGCTTGCTATGCAGGTGCTCTACCACTTGAGCCACTCCACCAGCCCCCTTCTGACACTCTTTTTTTAAATAAAATTTTTATTAGGATATATTCATTATAGAGGGTATATTCCTAGTGACCATTCTGATTAAATTTAACATTGTACATTATTTACACTGCCCCATCAGCCCCCTCCCCGCCACACCTTCTGACATTCTTAAAGTAATTTTCTTTGACATCTATAGTATTCTTACACACTAGCAGGTTAGTGTTGGGCTCTGGAAGTGCAGCTGTATGTGGAGGCTCTGAGGTTACTTCATGGAGCTGGAGTGCTGGCTGCACAGGCCCTGAGGGGTGGTGCACCCCATGGCTCCAGGAGGTGGTTTTCCTAAGATAAGGAGCAGGCTACTGGGCTGGAGAGAGAGGTCAAGATGGCTTCATGGAAGGCACTGGACCCACACAATGTGCTCCCCCCACAGGTAGCCTCAGGGACCAGGGAAGACACTAATTTAGTCCCACCCATCACCAGCAAGTGAATAGTGGGCTGCAGTTGTGAAGAGGACAACTGCCCTGTCATCTGGTTCTGGTTGCAGAAACGTGAAACTCAGTGATGCCTAAACTGTGCAGCCCGTTACTAGCTGGTCCCCACCAGGTGGCCCGAGCTCCTGCACCAACTCACTCAGAATGAGCTGTCAAGTTTGTTCTTTCCATTAAAGACTCCCCATTGCAATGAAAAATGACCAGCCAGTGTTAAAAGACCCTTTATGGGACTGGAATGTGACTCAATCGGTAGAGAGCTTGGTCTTGACTTCAAATCCCAGTACCACCTCCAAAAAAAAAAAGGCAGTGAGGGTGGGGCCTGGTGTATAAGGGTAGGCAGGGAATTGAGTGATCCCAAACTGTCCAGTTTCTTTTTTGGTTGATAGTCTGTTCTGTTTTTATCGTAGTTTTCCTATACCATTCGTTAGTCACTAGCAAGAAGATTGTTGGGTTTTCTCCCATCAGACTGACACATATTAAAATTAATGTCTGGTGTTGGTGAAGCTTAAGAAGGTTTTCCTGAGCACGTCCATTTTAACAGTCCTTTTGCTAGGCACCCTAAAGGACTCAGCAAAATGAAGTGAGATACCTGCGCACACTTGAAAGAGACACCCCCCGACTACTGGTAATTCTAGTCCGTATCTGGGAGCTGGTTTCACTGGGTTGTACTGTTTAAAAATTTCTTTGGGTTTATAGCCAGGAGCCGGTGGCTCACGCTAGTAATCCTAACTTCTTGTGAGGCTGAGATCTGGAGGATCACGGTTCAAGGTCAGCCTGGCAAATAATTCAGGAGATGCCCATCACCAAAATAACCAGAACAAAATGGAGATGTGGCTCAAGTGGTAGAGCGTCTGCTTTGCAAGTGCAAAGCCCTGAGTTCAAACTCCAGTCCCACCAAGAAGATACATATATATTTTTAAGTTTTATACTTACAATACCTTACAATTTCCTGTGTGTATCATATTTCAAAAGAAGTGTTACAAACATGTCCCTCGCCACGGCCCACAGCAGTATATAAAGGTATTGCTGGGTGGAAAACACGAAAGTGACACGTCCTCTTTTTTACTGGTGACTGGGGGCTGGCGCTGGTCGTTTCCAAGAGTTTTGGAGAAAAGAGGGAGAGCTCGCCTTTGCAGACCCGGACCTCCTGCAGGCAGCGAGCAGTTGACCCGCTGAGCCGGCCGGCCCCGCCCCCGCCCCGCCGGCCCCGCCCCGCCGGCCCCGCCCCGCCGGCCCCGCCCCGGCGCCGCGAGACATCGTCACGTGATCGTTGGGTCAGCTGACCCGCGGCGACCAGAACAAGACCGTCCTGGGCGGAGCCTCCTGGCGCGATGGTGAGAGAGCTGGGCCACGCGATGCGAGGCTGCGGGTGTCGGGGCGGGGAGGGCAGGAAGGTGGCCCCCCCCAGTGCCGGAGCCTGGAGAAAGAATGTGCTCTGTGCGTGCCGAGTCTGCCGCATCGCCACCCACGCGGCCAGTCTGGAGACCCGGGTCATTGCTCGGCCCGCAGCCAGGGCCCCGCCTCCCGGAGCTGCGATTCTTGCAGGCGCCCCTGGGCCCCAAGAGGACCCGCCTCGTACGGGAGCTCGTCTCCCCAGGCCCTCCTGCTTAGAATCGGCCCCCTCATCTCCTGTCCCCTTGTCCACGCTGTCAGCAAGCCTTGCCGCGCGCTCCAGAGCCAGAAAGTACTTTTCGAATTGGGACTTTTGACTCACGCACGCACTCATTAGGCGAATGTGTTTTGAGTAGCAGGCCCCCAGCTGGAGGAGGGGCGGGCGAGCCGGAAACATGAATTGGCGGTGGACAGACCTAACTGCTCCTTGTGTGTGTGGGGGGGAGGCTTCCTGAGGATGATAACCCGAGAGGAGGGACGGGGCTGGGTGAAGTAGAGTTTGTCTTCAGGGGTTGAGGTAAGAGTAGGGAGGAAGATGTCTTCATATGGGCACAGTGCATGCAGACCCCACTGGGAGAGCCAGGCCCCAGGAGAGAGGGCATCTCACCGAGCTGAGTGTGATCTGGAGCTTGGTGAAGATGAGGCAGGACGACCAGACAAAGACCAATTCTTACTGGGACTTGGATCACCATGAGCAAGACAGTGCGCATACCCACTGCCTCCCCCCAAAAAACTTCCTTATACAAAGAGCCATTTTAGAAAGTAGGATCAGGAGTTGGGTGTGGTAGTTCACGCTTGCAATCCCAGCTACTCAGGAGGCAGAGGCAGAAGGACTGTGTTGGACGCCAGCTGGTCAGAGGTAGTGTGAGACTCTGTCTCAAAACTAAAATAAGCTGGGCGCTTATGGCTCATACCTGTAATCCTAGCTACTCAGGAAGTAGAATGAGACTGCTGTAACAGGAATATCAGGGAAGCCATTGTGGCTGGAGTGGTCGTGTGGAGGAGAGAGATCCTCTGGTCTCTCAAGACCAGGGACTTTGTTTTGTCCCCCACTGTGGCTCCTGCATTTACAGTGGGACTCCCACTGAGTAGACCTTCCATGATAGTAGGTGAATGCCTGAGTAGACAGAACAAGATTTGGTGGCATCGGGGGAGAACAAATAGCTAGAGGGTGACCATCTCGGACATGAATCTTGGCCACACCTCAGCCCTCCCTGCAGCCTGACTGCCCGCTCCCTTGCAGAGGTTCCGGTTCTGTGGAGATCTGGACTGTCCCGACTGGGTCCTGGCAGAGATCAGCACATTGGCCAAGATTGTTGAGTGCATGGGATCTACTTTGGGTGGGAGGGGGAGAGCTGAGGGGGGTAGAGGGTGAAGAGGGCACCCTTGGGTTAAGGCCTCTGGGCTCTTTGCTTGTGCTACTGTGCTGTGTGATCTTGATCACATGGCTGGCCCTTTCTGAGCCAGTCCCCCAGCAGTGAAGGGTGAGGTGGGTCCGCCCAGCTGATACAGGGACTTCCTTTTCCAGTCTTCTGTGAAGCTGCGGCTGCTGTGTAGCCAAGTGCTAAAGGAACTTCTGGGACAGGGGATTGATGTGAGTATAGGGCCCAGCACCTCACTGATCCATGACCTATCACCCCCAGGGAGGTGGGTGATTGCACCCTCCTAATCTCCCTGGACACCCCACCATTCACTCCAGCCCCAGCCCATCCCTTACCACAGGGTCCAGGTGGGGTGAGGGGCTGGTGACAGGGCCCTGGCACCCCCTGAGGGCCTCCTTTCCCTGTAGTATGAGAAGATCCTGAAACTCACTGCTGACGCCAAGTTTGGTGAGTACCGAGAGACCTTGGGTGACCCTGGCGCTAAGCCCATTGCCTGGCACAGAGGCCCTCATCCCAGCAGCCTTGCCTGACTCATCCGCCTTAGTGGAGGAGCAGGAGGGGAGAAACCCGTTGACAGTCCTGCCCCAGTCCTCTGTCAGCTCCTGTTGGAGTAGTAGCAGTGCCTGTGGCTCGAGGCCAAGGGACCAGAACTGAAGATAATAGGCAGCAGGGAGGGGCCAGGGTCACAGTGACATTCCTTCCCCTACCATGGGTCTCCAGAGTCTGGTGACGTGAAGGCCACAGTCGCGGTACTGAGCTTCATCCTCTCCAGTGCGGCCAAGCACAGTGTGGACGGCGAGTCCTTGTCCAGTGAGCTGCAGCAGCTGGGGCTGCCCAAAGGTATAGGATGTAGGTAATCTGTGGGCGAGGGCTGCTGGGGAGCAGGCCAGGCTGTGTGACCCTGAGATGTGTCTTGGCCTGTCTGGGTCAGGAGCCTGAGCCCTGCCCTCTGGGCGGCCCAATCTCCCTCCCCACCTGCCACCTCAGCAGAGCTCCTTCTGCCCCCAGAGCATGCAGCCAGCTTGTGCCGCTGTTACGAGGAGAAGCAGAGCCTCTGCAGGAGCACCTGCGGGCCTGCAGCCTGCGCTGTGAGTGGGGTCACCTGGGTGTGTGGGGCGGGGGGAGTGTCTGGATTCACTTTAGAAGTGCCAGTCCTCAGCAGGAGCCTTAGTCACAGTCACACTCAGACCAGGCACAGAGCTGTCACCTGGCTCTCTTTCTTTCCCTTGAGGCCTGTGGTGGATATTTGAGTGCTTAGTGATTGAGCACCTGCCCTGCACCAGTCTTGGGTCAGAGGGTGAGTGCTGACTGAGTGCTTCCTGGCTCACCCACCTGAGAGCTCCCCTACCCCATTTGCAGTGAACAGGCTGGCAGGTGTGGGCTGGCGGGTGGACTACACCCTCAGCTCCAGCCTCCTGCACTCCGTGGAAGAGCCCATGGTGCACCTGCGGCTGGACGTGGCACCGGCCCCCGGTGCCCCAGCCCAGCCTGTGACCATGTCCCTGTCAGCAGACAAGTTCCAGGTTCTCCTGGCAGGTGAGGATCAGTTGTACCAGAAGGGGTGAGGGCCCTTCTGGATCTGTTCTGACTCACCTGCCACGACCCCCCCTGCAGAACTGAAGCAGGCCCAGACTCTGATGAGCAACTTGGGTTGAGGAGAAGGGGGTTCCCAGCCTGGCTGGAGCTGCCTACCTGTGTCAAGTTGCTGCCCTCCAAACTGCTCTCCAGGGGTGGCCCCAGTTCTAGGATGCTGGAGCCCTGGCCTCCCACTTGAGACTTCAGCATAGGCTCTTGGGGACCTGTTCCAGCACTGCCTTCCCTCTCCTTGAAAGAAAGATCCTGTCAACTCTTTTCATGAGCAGGAAGAATAAACAGAATTATAAAGCTGTGTGTGTGTGTGTTTTCTCTCTGGTTTCCCAGCAAAGGGTTTTGTAAGAGAGACCAAGTGGCATTCTGATTTTCATGCTGACCAACGTGAACAGCAAGTCTGTAGATAGGCAAGTCAGGGTCCTCACTCAGTGATGCTATTGACTCTGCTCTCTCTTTGCTGGCCTTGTCCTCATGCTGGCAGCAGAGTGGCTCCAACGGCCATATGCCTTATATAGAGACAGGAGAGAGCCCTTGTCTCCCCACCATCTTGCAGAAGCACTCATTGCCAAGAAGGGTGTCACAGACGTCTTGAATGTCACGTTCCCTGTCTCCCACAGTCCATGTGAAAGCCTCGCTGTCCATAGCATGCAGTGAGAGAGACCATGCAAGAATGGATGAATACAGACCAGTTTCTGAGGAACTGAATTTGCTGGTACTCTCATCTTGGGCTTTGGAGCCTCCAGAAATGTGAGAAATATCTGTTGTTTATAAGCCACCCAGTGTGTGGTGCTGTGTTCTAGCAACCTGAGCTAAGACAGTCTCCCACAACTAACTAGCACCTTATAGAAAGGCATGGCGTTATTTATCTGTAATCCCAGCCAAGCAGGAGGCAGAGATAGGCAGATCACCCTATCTGAGGCTGGCCTTAGGCAAAAAAAGCAGAAGATTTAATCTGAAACAAAGCAAAAAGTGCTGGGGACATGACTCAAGTGGTAGAGTGCTTGCCTAGTCAAACTGGTGTTCTAAAAATTACTCAACCCACAGCAGGACAAGAAGAAAAGTGGTTAAAAAATGACACAAAAAGTTCTAAAATCTCAAATGTGTTTACTTCACCTCTCCCAGGCAGCACCCTTCTCATCATCATAGGACTCCCCATACCTCCATCGCTGCTGTTGAAGCATCACATCTGCCTCTTTACCAGCCTGAGTTTCTTAAGGATAGAATTGCGTGTCCATGTTTGTACGGCCTCAGTGCCTAGGGAAATATTTTATTTTAAGAACAGCAACAGATTTATAGTTTTTTTTTTTAGTGGTACTAGGATTTGGGGATTTGAACTAGGGACTACACCTTGAGCCACTCCACCAGCCCTTTTTTGTGATTTTTTTTTTTTTAAATCTAGGGTCTTGTAAACTTATCTGCCCAGCTGGCTTTGCACAGTGATTCCCCTGGTCTCTGCCTCCTTAATAGCTAGGATTACAGGCGTGAGCCACCAAATGTTGAATGTAAAAAAAAATCCATTAGTCTGTAGTGGTCCTCTAAAGAGAAAAGCTGTCCCCCTCACTCCCAAAACCAACCTTTATCTGTCAGCATTGGATGCCATTATTGCACAAAGTCAGTGCAAAAATTGGTAAAAGGAGGAAATAAGGATTTTTTTTGTTTTGTTTTTGTTTTTTTGGCGGCACTGGGTTTGAACTCAGGGCTTCACACTTGCTGGGCAGGTGCTCTTAACTAATGCTTGAGCCATTCTTCCAGCCCTTTTTTGTAATGGGTTTTTTGAGACAGGGCTGCCAGAACTACTTGCCCAGCGCTGGCTTTGAATCTTAATCTTCCTGATATCCTCTGCTTCCTGAGTAGCTAGGATTACAGGCGTGAGCCACTGGTGCCTGGCAGTAATTAAGAATTTGTCCTACCAGCCAGGGACCAGTGGCTCATGCCTGCAATCCTAGCTACTTGGGAAGCTGAGAGTAGGAGAATCACAGTTCAAGACCAGTCCAGGTAAATAGTTCTCGACTCTCACCTCCAAAATAACCAGAGCAAAGCAACCAGACGGGATGGTTGGTTTTTTTGCTGTAGAGCACCTGCAAAGAAGCCTGTGCACAAGGATACAGGGATGTTGACTACAAAGGCACTTGGCCAAATTGAGGGGGTGCAGGTACAAAATAAATTCTCTTTTGTGGTAGGAACACTTCCCCTGAGATGCCTTCTACATTTTGGTACAGAAGCCTGTGATAACTAGTTGCCACACTGTGCAATTTAGAATTTACTCATTGCACAGTTGAAACTTTGTAACTGATTAACATCACCTCCTCCAGGTCCTCCACCCCACCTCCTGGAGACCACCGTTGTGCTCACTGCTTTAATGTGTTTGTTTTATACCCATCGTGTAAGTGGAGTTAGGCAATATTGTCTGTGACTGACTCATCACTTACCATGGTGTCCTCAAGCTCTGTTACTGCTGTGGCAGAATCTCTTTCCTCCCTCCCTCTCCCTCCCTTTCTCCTTCCCTTCCTTCCTTCTTTTCTATGGTGCTGAGATTTGAACTCAGAGCTTCACACTTGGAAAGCAGGTGCTCTACCACTTGAGCCACACCTCCATCCATTTTGCTCTGCTTATTTTGGAGATGGGAGTCTCAAACTATTTATCTGGGCTGGCCTCAAACCTTGATCCTCCCAATCTAAGCCTTCCAGATAGCTAGGTTACAGGTGTGAGGCATTAGCGTCCAGCCAGGATTTTCCTTTTCTTAGGTTAATAGTCCACTGTGTTTATATGCCATGTTTTCAAAATCCATTTATCTGCTGAGGGACACTGACCCTCACCCTGGCTCTTGTGGCTAATGCGTCCGTGGGTGTTCTCTCCTGATGTGGCCACAGTGTCACAGCTCATTGGCATTTGCCAAAACTCACAAGAAGTGAATTGTACTGTATGTAAATTACATCTTAACTTAGACAAAAATAGAACAGCAAAACAAATCACCCACAGCCTAGTCAGTGGTCACAGGCGGGAAACACCTTTTACAAAGGCACAGCCCAATTGCCATGGCCGCCGCCTTGCTCCGTTCACTAAGGGGGCACAGCCAGATATGGGCACCTCCTAAGGGGAAGGCTTTGGAGTGCAGGGTGGCACTTGGGAGGGCCCTGGATCAATCTGACACAGCATTTAGACCTCATTCCCAGCAGGTAAGAAAACTCCAGAGAGAGGACAGGTCAGTGGCACCCTGAGGACACTCAGACAAATCCAGAATGTATGGAACATCAGAGCACAAGTAGCTTGAACTCTTCAGAAAGGTCAGTATCAAGGTCAAAAATAGAAAGAGGGAGTGAGGTGGGTAGGATGGCGTGGTTCTATCTAGATTAAAAATGATTAAAGGAAATGATTCATTAGACTCTGACTTGAACAAACAACTATAAAAATATGTTTTGAGGATTGGGGGGGAAATTCGGATGTGAACTAGGTATTAGATGACATTAAGAAGTACTAGCCAGACACTGATGGGTCAGGTCTTTAATCCTAGCTACTTGGGAGGCTGAGATCAGGAGGATTGTTGTTTGAGGCCAGCCTGGGCAAACAGTTTTTGAGACTATATTTCCAAAATAACCACAGCAAAATGGACTGGATGTGTGGCTCAAGGAGAGCACCTGCTTTGCAAGTGCAAAGCCCTGAGTTCAAACCCGTCCCACAAAAAACAGTTACTAAATGTCACAATGAAACCTACTATTTTGTACAATTCTTAAACACTAATTAAAAGGTGATGTATTAAATTGCCACCAATCTAGCTGTTAAATTAGTATGTTTGGTCAAAGCACACACTCCAGCTCATATCTTCTTCCAGCTGGTTGTCTTCCTGCCTGCCCTATGTTGCAAAATGGGGGCCTGTGAGCATCACCCAGGGGAAGGCCAGGCTGGGATGGCTCATCCACAGAAAGATGGGCACCACTGCTGCCTTCGCACAGGCTAACTTGCAAGACAAAGGAGCTGTGGCTGAGCTGGCAGAGAGAGGCTATCAGGACCAATCACAGTGACAGATACGATGAGAATCCCCATCACTGTCACTGGGAGGCAAGGTCCCTGGGTCCAAAATCCGTAGCTCATACTGCCAACCTGGAAGAAGCAAAGGCTAGAGAGCTTGCCACTAAATTGGGTTAAATGTGCAGTGCTGGGGGGAGAAATGACCCGAACAATGTATGCACATATGAATAAATAAGTAACAAAAATGTTTTTTAAATGGGCAGTGTTGAGTTCCCTATGCTTGAAGATAAATTTCTTGCTCCAAAAAATATTGCTAACTTTATTGGGGATGAAAGGTCAAGATTTGTCTAATTTACTTTAAAACATTTCTTCCAAACTAAATGAATAAGTAGATGGCGGGGTGGGGGGGCAGAATAGTACGAAGAAGGGCAAATCATGATTGCTGTGGGTCAGACACCACTGCCTGCTAGTCTTAGAACAAAATCCAACCCCCTACAAGGCAAGCAACTCTAACCTCCCCCCACCTCCCCATTTTCTCTGGTTCTGTCACCTGTCTCTGGGCCTTTGCACTGGTCCTTCTTTCCGCCTGGCAGTATTATCTTGGCAACACTTTTTGTGTCTGAGGCTGTAACAACCAGACCTCTCTGCTGGCTCCGTGCCTAAGTCCTTCTGACTCTGTCTATAGGCCAGCGCAGAGGGACCCTGCCCCACAGAACCATCTGAAATGGGTTCAGCGTCTGAGTCCTCGTAATTTGTTGCTTGACTGCACTTCCTACTCTGTAGGCAGCGATATTTTTGTTTATGTGTTATGTCTGACTGTGCGTTGACACTTAAGGCCCCCATCGGGTCCCCAGGGCCTGCGTTTGCTGTACACCTGTGCCTGCCCCGCAAACAGCTGCAGTGGGCTCTGCCCTGAGACGTCACCGCTGTTTCCTGCAGGCGGTGACCAGCCAGTGACTTCCCCCAACTGCAGACACAGCTGTGACCTGGCCCCCAAGACCTGACACCGCAGCCGGGCAGTGGCAAGACAGATTCCTTTCCCAACGCCCAGCCAGGTGACTGCCCCACACTTGCCCCACACCCTGACGTCCTCCGGTTGGGGAACCCCATCCGGGTCCCCGAGGAACTACACTTCCCAGCGTGCTCCTCGGCGCAGCCGGTCGCGCGCATCCTCTGCTCGCGCTGCCGCTGCGGGAGCGCGGCGCGGGCACCCGGGCGGGGACGGGGCTGTGCGGTGAGAATCGGCCGAGCTCGGGAGTCGGGGAGGAAGGAAGCGGGGCTGGCTGGGAACAGGGTGGCAGCCGGGAGTCGTCTTGTCCGCCAAACGACCCCTTTCGTGCGCTGAAAGGCGTCTGCCCGGCCCACGCCTTCCCGATCCCGAACCGTGCTGGCGCTAGAGCAAAGGGCCGGAATAAAGCCGGGAGCCCGGAGCTCGGGGAGCCCCTGCCGCACCCCGCCCGCCCTGTCCCCTCAGGCCGTAAGGACCTGGCTGCGCGAGGTAGCCTTGGCCAGCGGCGGCGGGCCGCCGCCACCGGTCTCCCGGCCGCCTGGGTTCATTCCCTCGGTGGCCGCCGGGCAGACGCGGGGCCCATCTAAGCTTCGGCCCTGGGGTGCAGCGCAGGAAGCGGCAGGGACAGACTTTCAGATCGTGGGAGCCCTGCAGAAAAGACGAGGTGTGTAGGAGAGGGACACTGGGATAGGGGTCACAGAGGACGTCTCTCAAGTGTCCCAGTGAGAGGGACAACAGGGGCCATGCGGAGCTGGGAAGAGCAGTACTTGGAGCCAGGATGTGAGCGGGTGGGGAGCCCGGGAGGACAGGCTTGGACTTTACCCTAAAAACGGCCGTGGAAGACCATGAGCAAGCCAAGCCTGCAGGGAGTTCCCAGTGCCTGGGCACTGTGGATGGGGTCGGGGCAGTGGCCAGCCCACTATTTTCCTCCAGCCCCAGCTAGCCATGTCCCTCTCTGACCCTCAGAGTGCTCTGTGAAACAGGAGTGAGTTTCTACGTCACAAGGTGCCCCCTGGCCCACTCTGCTGTGCTCCCCATTCAGGACCCTGCAACCCCTCCCGCAGAATGCCTGAGGGCCCCGAGCTGCACCTGGCCAGCCTCTTTGTGAATGAGACATGCAGGGGACTGGTGTTTGGCGGATGCGTGGAAAAGTCTTCCGTCAGCCGCAACCCTGAGGTGCCCTTTGAGAGCAGCGCCTACCACATCTCGGCCTGTGCCCGGGGCAAGGAGCTGCGTCTGACGCTGACCCCCGCGCCTGGGGCCCAGCCCCCACAGGAGCCGCTGGCTCTTGTCTTCCGCTTTGGCATGTCTGGCTCTTTCCAGCTGGCACCCGCCCATGCATTGCCACCCCACGCCCACCTGCGCTTTTACACAGCCCCACCTGCCCCCCGGCTAGCCCTGTGCTTTGTGGACATCCGCCGCTTTGGCCACTGGGACCCTGGAGGTGAATGGCAACCAGGCCGGGGGCCATGTGTCCTGCTGGAGTATGAACAGTTCAGGTAGGACCAGCACCAGCTGTACGGAGGAGTCCTGGGCTCCAGACCTGGCTCTACTGTGCCTTGTTTGTGGAGAGGGGAGTTCAGCCCCCACTGGGCTTCAGTCCCCTCATTAGTAGATCAAGACAGTGGGGGTAACCCAAAACTGGTGGGAGAAGGCAGCCCAGAGGAGGATGGCACAGCTCTGAGGACATAGCCATTGGCATCAGATCTGGGCCCAGATCCAGAATCCCACTCTGCTTCTTGGGTCCCAGGAGGCTCAGGAGGGCAAGGGGATTTCAAACCACTGTCAGAAGCAAGGCAGAAAGATTGCTTCAAGGGACAGAGAGGAGGGGACTGCCTCATGGTAGAGTTTTTAAGTCAGGTTTTGGTGGTGTCCTACATTCTACCTGTCCACTGGTCTGTGTCCTGGGGTCCAGACAGTCTGTGACTGTCCCCCCGCCTGCAGGAGGGGTAGCAACTCACCTAGGATGTGATTCAGGTCACCAAAGATGACTTAGTGTCAGCCACTTCCTTTCCTCTAAAGAGGATTTGTGTGAGGCCATGCCAGGCCTCCTAGGTGCTGGGGCACAGAGGGGAGTAAGGTGAGTGTGAACCCTGCTCCCACTGCACTGACGTTCAGGTAGGGCAGGGAGCCAGCACACCCAAGATAAATCCAAATAGACGCATGCTGGAGGAAGACGCAGCAGTGCAGGAGGTAGTGACTCTCCCCAGGGTGAGGGAGCACATTAGGAAACGGAGATGACATTTGAGCTGAGGCTTGGTGGACAAGACAGCCAGCCACGCAAAGCTAGAGGAAAGCATTCTACGTGGGAAGGAATCACATAGGCCTAAAGTTTTTCCTGGGGGATGGTGTGCCTGTGGTTGGCCCTAGGAGACTTGGTCACATGTCTGGCACCACTGGCCTTCCTATGTGGGAATCAGGTGCATTCCCAGGGAAACCTCAGTTCATGGTCCTGAATGGCACCCACCTCCCTTTCCTGGGGAGTCATGCCACAGGCTGTCGGCCAGCTGGCTCTATCCAGGCTGTTCCCTTGGTCCACCAGCTGGGAGCTAGCTGTTTGGGCTCAGCACCACCCAGATGAACCTTCCACTCTTTTATCTTTACTGCCCAGCCCATCTTCTGGCCCCCTGTCACACTTTCCTCAAGCCCACCACCCAGTCAGTCTCCATGACCTTTTTGCACAAAGGAATCAGATAGGTTTCTTCTTCTTGGAGGTATAAGACTTGCCAGGACTCGCTCTGGTATGCCTGCTGCACAGAGCCACATAACCTCCAGGGTTTTGAGACGAGTGGAGCCCACCAATGTCAAATCTAACCTGCCATGAGTCTTAGGGAGTTCCAGATTGTAGACATACCCGAGACCCCAAGAACAGGTTCCCCAGCCCCACTTCCCTATCCAGGGGTGTAGGGGTGGGTCTCATGCACCCAGGCTGTCCCTCCAGAGAGAACGTGCTACGAAACCTGTCAGACAAGGCCTTCGACCGGCCCATCTGTGAGGCCCTCCTGGACCAGAGGTTCTTCAATGGCATTGGCAACTATCTGCGGGCAGAGATCCTGTACCGGTCAGCAGGCAGACCATGAGCAGAAGGGCTGGGGTGGGTCAGGAGTGCCCACGCCCTCTGCTTAGCACGGCCCCCTCCCCACCACCCCAGACTGAAGATACCCCCCTTTGAGAAGGCCCGCGCAGTCCTGGAGGCCCTGCAGCAGCACCGGCTGGTGAGGGCACACAGATGTGAGATGGCACACTCGTGCTGGTGTGGGCAGCAAGGGTGTGGGTGGAGTCAGATGTCTGTCTCCAGCTTAGCTCACAGCTTATGCGGATGGGGAACGAGTCACCTTGAAGGTCCTGCTGAGTTCAGAGGGGGGTCTGCCACCCTTGCCCTGCGCTGACAGCCAGGTCCTTTTTGCTTCTTCTTCAGAGCCCGGAGCTGACCCTGAGCCAGAAGATCAGGGCCAAGTTGCAGAACCCAGACCTGCTAGAGCTGTGCCACTTAGTACCCAAGGAAGTGGTTCAGCTGGGTGAGGCTTGGGGAGGCCAAGAGGGCTAGTGTACCATGTACCCCTGGGCAGCTGTCCTCCAGGCCTGGTCCCCGATTAAGGGGTGGAAGTGGCTAACCTAATCAGTTCTCTTAGTTGCACATGCGGCAGGCAGGGCAAGGATTTTTTTTTTTTTTTTTGGTGGAACTTAGGGTTCATACTCACGGCTTTGTGCTTGGAAAGCAGGCACTCTATCCTAAGCCACAGCCACACCTCCAGTCTATTTTGGAGACTGGTTATTTTTGGAGATGGGATCTTGAGAACTATTTGCTTGGGTTAACCACAAACTACAGTCCTTCCAATCTTAGCCTCCCAAGTAGCTAGGATTATAGACATGAGCCACTGTGCCCAGCTAGGGCAAGGATTCTTAACTCCTCTCTGGGATGGGGAGGCCATGGCCCAGGTCACACAGTGGGAGGAGGGGGAGTGTGGCTCCCTGGCTCAGCCCATCAGTTTGAAGTCTGGGCTAGATCCAACCAGGTTCCCCACTTCTCCCAAAGTCTGCCCTCCAACTTCCCCCTGGTTCCTCTGTCTGTCCCACAGGGGGTAAAGGCTATGGGCCAGAGCATGGGGAAGAAGACTTTGCTGCCTTTCGAGCCTGGCTGCGGTGCTACGGTGTGCCAGGCATGAGCTCCCTGCGAGACCGGCATGGCCGCACCATCTGGTTTCAGGTTTGGGCCTTATTGCTCATAGGGCAATTGGAGACGCCCAGGGAAGCTGGTGGGGTGGACACACCTAGGACCACAGCAGGACAGGAGCTGAGGTCTTCTCCAGTGGGGATCCTAGTGCCTGTGGAGGTTTGCCAAGGGTCACGATGCTCTGGGGGTCTAGTACGGCTCATCCCCTCCTTTGAGCCTCAGGACCCCAGCACTGGGACAGCCCTAGGGCAGCACAACCTTGCTGACGTGACTGCCGTAGGGGAGGTCAGAGGCTTCCTAGCTCCACTGATCTGGAAGGACACAGTCTGGTCTCCAAGGAAAACTCTCCTGACCTAAGCCAGGTTGATTCCAGAATTGCCCTCATTCTATTTTAGGGGGATCCTGGACCCATGGCACCCAAAGGTAAGTGACAACTTACCTTTGCCTGCAAGGGTTCAGCCCCTTTCCCACCCTGTCCCTTGCCAACCCTGGAGTTCGCCCCTGAGTGGGACAGACAAAAAGGGCTGAGGCCACAGTACGCTCCAGCTCCAGCACAGTGTCCTGCAGGGAGCAAGTCCCGCAAAAAGAAGTCCCAGGCAACACAGCAGGGCCCTGAGGATGGACCCAAGGTATGGTTGCCAGCGCTGGCTCCAGGCCAGCTGCCTTGGCTCCTGACCAAGGGGGTTGGTATCAGTGGTAGGTCTGAACCAACCTCTAAACTGCCTAGAGAAAAGACCACAAGGACCTGTGTCTCCTCACCTAGGACCCTCCACCTCCGAGCAAGGCCCCTCCCAGGACACGAAGGGCCCAGAGACACCTTACTAAAACTGCAACTCAACAGCCTGAGGCAACTGGCCTCCAGCAAGCTCCTACAGTCCCTGAGAAAGGGAGGAAGAAGGGGCAACAGACAACTTCAGGTGGACTTTCCTCAGCATGCTCCCTAGGCCGGGAAGAGGACGCCACAGAGTGGCTCTTTAGGGAGGATGGGATAGCAGTGTGGGGATGTGGCAACGGAAGAGGGAGGGAGGGAGGCCTAGCATGGGGGTGCCAGCCAACCATCTCACCTGTTCTTCCCCCAGGCCTCCGTAGACCCCAGAAGATTAAGGCTGACGCCTCACCCGGGGAGTCTGGCACGGCATCAGCCTCTTAGCAGGAGGGCTTCCTTGCTTGTTCCTCTCCCCTTTCCTGCTGCCTTGCCATATGCCCCAGACCCTGTGGCTGTTAAACTGTAGTGTTTTTAATTCTACCCCACCGTCTACATTTTTAAAGCCATGACAAATGCTCTATTAAAAAAAAAAATACCTAATAAATTTGAACTTGGCACTTCTGGGGTTGCTGCAGGTCTGAGATGGTCAGGCTGGAAGGACCTGCTACTTGGCCCTGGGAACAGAGGCCTGCCTACCTCCTCAGCAAGGCACACTGAGCTTCTAGCCCACTCCTCTGGAGGCCAGTGCCTCTCAGGACCAGTCCCGAGAGGAGGAAAGGAAGGTGTGCAGAAATTCTGGCCCGGACTGGCCCTTTCTACAGCTTAGGGGTTGAAAGCCAGGACCCACCCTCCAGACCTCATTTCCAGCCCCTTACCCTCTGCCTCTGGCACAAAGAGGAACTTTTTTTTTTTAATCTCTTGGCTATGATCACCTGAGGTCCCCAGTCTTTCCTGTGAGGGTGCAACTCAAATCCTACACGTACAGGCAGAATCTTGACCCTATCTCCAAATGCTTGGGAAGCAGCTCTCCCCTTCTTTCCCAAAGCTGGAGCATTGTCCTTAAGGGGAGCAAGCAGCAGGAGCTATGCTCAAGGCTATTGATCCAAGTATTTATTGTACAAGAGGTGACTGATCCTTGCTCAAGCAGGGGAGGCAGAGATGAGGAGTCCCCCAGGGGCTCAATTTGGTGGAGGATGAAGCACAAGCAACAGAGACCTCACTTGGAAGGGAGAAAAGGTGAGCTTCAGGCGGGAGTCCCGAAGGAGCAGGTGGCCAGCAGGGTCTGGCTGCTCCAGGAGGTTGCACCTAGATGGAGAACAGAAGAGGCCATGAGGGCCTGGAGAGGCGGGCCTCCCATCTCCCCAGTGTGGCCCCTCCACTCACAGGATGGCCTCCTGAACTGGCAGCGATGTATGCAGCCAACAGTCAACATGGCTGCCGTGGGCCTCATACAGCCTGAGGACCAGAGTGCGGCTCTGGGGCATGCTCTCTGCCTGGGGAGGGAAGCAGGTGGTAGAAGGGACCAGGGGCATGTCCAGCCAAGGACCCTGCACCACCCCCTCCCCCGGCCCCCACAACCACCCGGCCCTTGCCTGTTTGACGGTCTCCAACACGACTGCTGATGAGGATAGGGAAAAGGCACTCCAGGTGGTGGTGGCAGGCGCAGGGCCTGGGGCAGGTAGCGCCAGCAGGGGGAAGTTGAGGTCATAGGCAGCGTGGATAACACCAGCATCTTGGAAGGAGCCTGGGGCATGACCAGAAAGGGATGCATGGTAGAAAATGGGGACCTTCACTTCTTCTAGGGTGCAGGGGTTTCTCCTAGTGTCTGGAGGAGGCTCAGAGAAGGGCAGAGAGGTCAAGAGCCACAGGAAGGCCCCTGTCCTCAGCACTCACCCTTGTGTGGCATCAACGCATAGGTGAACTCATGGCGCCCCATGTCAGCGCTGGCATCAGGGGCCTTAGGTGCCCTCAGGCTGGGGTGGAAGGGAGGATATGGTCTGGGCTGGAGCTGCTGGAGTTTCACGCCAGCCCCCAGCCTGGCAGGCCTGCCACTTACAGAGAGAGGCTGAGGATGCTGCCTTGTACAGACGCACCATACTTGCAGTCGTTGAGCAGGGCCAGCCCAAAGCCGTACTCTGACAGATCCATCCAGCGGTGGGACCATACCTGAAGGGCAGATTCAAGGCCTACTTGGTGGCCCCGTTTCTTTTCTTTTTGCCCCCAGTCTCCAGAGCTCCTGTCACGAGGGTGACAGCAAGCTCTGGAAGCACAACTGCATTCTAGCTCCCACTCTAGGAGTGGCATCCCAACTGTAGGCATGCCACCCAACCTGTCTCAGCCTCAGTTTCCTCATCTATGAAATGGAAATAAACTTACCAAACTAAATGTAAGCATTTAGCACAATGCCTGGCACACCACAAAACTAGTCTCTCCTCAGCCAGAGAGGAGTTGAGCCCAACTTTGCACCTGTTCCCCATATCAGACCTCAAATCGAGCCCAGTCCCAAGAGGTGTTGTAGTGCGTGGGCCGCTGCAGGTGCCCAAACTGGATCTCATAGGTGGCCTGGGGGTTCCGCACACGGGCAGGGAACTCCACCTTCAGAAACTTGTGGGCCTCATGCCAGTGCACCTGGGAGGAGGGGTGGGTTGGGGAGAGAAGGGGAAGGTCGCACACAAGCTGGGGGCAGCCCACCCTCACAAGCCACACCTGGGAACGCGGCCAACCATCCTAACCCCTGCTACCTCAGTGTGGAAGCGGACATAGGGGCAGCCAACGTCCAGCACAACCTCCTGGCTGAGCCGACTGTTGGGGCTGATCTGTAACAGGAACCAGGCACTGCCTCGAAGGCCACCCTCAGTGCCCACTGCTAGGGTCCCTGCCTGGCCCATCACAGGCTTCCTGTGGGATGGAAATGGGAAGCACTGAGCCAGAGTAGCCTGTATTCCCACTACCCCACTCCCAAGTCCTTCCCAGCCTATACCGTGTCTCTAGGTGGTAGTCCATGACATCCCATGCATCCCAGTACAAGGGGACATCATCAAACAGCACAAACTGGTTGCCCAGAGCACCCTCAGCAATGGCCTCCCTGGAAGGACATGAGGATTGGTGCTTCACAACTGCATGATCTTGCTCTCAACAGCTGCACTTGGTGGGGTGAGGACAGGGTAAGTAGACCCAGGGCACAGGGGACTCCCAGTCCAGCCTGTCCTGCCCCATATGTGGGTGACAGCCCTGAGGCACTGGCAGTGCCGTGTTGTGGTTAGGGTTCAGAGGGAACAGGGTCTGGGACCCACTTGCCAGGCATGGGGAAAGGACAGTGAGGGATTAGCACCTGCCAGAGACCACCAGGACTAGAGACATAAGGCGGCCAGTAGGGTCCAACTTCACCCGGATGATGCCGTTGTCCAGAGTCACAGAACCATCGGTCTTGGGTGGGAGGGATCTTGAGACTGAGTCTGTAGGGTCTTCCCACTACCACTGGTTCCCCCCAGCCCCAATCCTGCGGGCTGTATATCACTCCATCCTCCTGCCCCAGGCTAGGGGCTCAGAACCCTCACACGGCTAGGGAAACTCACAGGCCACTCCCCGCCCCACTGGGAGCTGCCAGGACTCACCTCTTGCACCACAAACACAGGCTGCTGAGGCAGCAGCGGCTGCAGTGAGGTGGGGGTGGGAACAGGAGCATAGCCCATGCTGGGCACTGTCACCAGGGCTGGGGATGAGATCTGGACATCAGCTTCCCTGACCTTCCAGAAACCTTGCTCAGGTAGGGGTGGAGGTGGTGAAGGATGTAGCTACTTTGCAGGCTGGGGCACTTCATGGCAGATCCCCAGGGGAACGTCCCTCCCCTACAGCTCATACCTAGGCTGTGGGCCCCACCGGGCTTGGGCAAGGCCAACACTTCGGTGCGCTTCCAGGGCAGTGTGTTGACAATGAGGAGGCCCTCGGGACCTGGCTCCCCAGCACACAGGGCTGCGGCTGCAGTGCTGAGCAGTGTATTGCCATGGGAACGGATGTCTGCGGAGAGACTGGCTGATCATGGGTGGGGGGACTGGGTCTGGGGATAACCTGAATGTCCCAGAGGGGACACTCCATGCTCAGTCCTGGTTGGAAAGTGGCAGGACTGTTGTCAGCCTCACCTTCATAGTGGCTCATGGCCTCCTCTGCCACCAGCTGGATGCAGCTTCCAGTCACTACATCATGGAACTGGTTGAGGAGTAGAAGCCTGCAGGGGCCAAAGGCAAGGATGGGGAGGCTGGAAGGAGCACCTGCGGAGGTGTCTCGGGTAGAGGTCAGGTGGGTAGCAGTGAGTAGCAGGTAGAGCAGTGGGCGATGCCAGGCTGACCTCCAGAGGTGCTGTAGCTGGGCCGCTGGGTATAGGAACTGGGCACTGCGGGCCAGGGCCAGGCTGCTGAGCAGCTCCACGTCATGCAGGATCCGCTCACACTCCCGGTTCCCCCTCTTGAGCTGTGTGCCCAGTGTAAGGGCATCAGTCTGGAGCATACTCAAAGTGTCCCAGGCCACCTCCTTTGCTCAGAACCCCTGACAGATCCCCAGGACCTCTAGATTAAGACTTTTATGGGTATCTTGCCCCAAATACCATTCCTCTGCCCCAAACCTCCTCTTCCAGGGAGGCTCAGCTTCACATCCTGCACTTTCCTGGTAGGCCTAGTGCCTGGCTTCTCTCTTCCAAGACTCTCCTTGGAAAAGGAGCCTGCTGGGGTCTGGCCACTACTCCCCTCCCTAGCCCTCTGCCTGCTGGGCCTGGCAGCCTGGCCCTGACCTTGGCATGGGTGGTGTAGGTGCCATTGTGCAGCTCCAGGAAGAGCTCCCCGACCCATGTGCACAGTTGTCCTGAGTCCCTCTCCAGTGCCGTGAAGAGCTGGGCTGGGGAAGACAGCTGCACCCTGAGGGAGACCACAGCCTGGGCCTCCCATCCTGGGCCTGTGGTTTGCCCTTCCTCCACCCAGAGCAGAGAGAGATCCAGCCCCAATGGGGAGTCAATCCAGACATCTACCTATGTATCCAGTGGTGGCTCTGGACACCCAAGAGAGCTCCCCTCTGGTGGGTGTGAGCCTTTCCTACCCTCACTGTTTACCCCATCTTATCCCCAGGGTATAAGTTTGGAGGAGCAGATAGGCCAAGACTGGAGCAGCATAAGTTCCAAGGGAAGGGTTGAGCCCAGTCTATGAACAGAAGGAAGGCTCAAGGCAAGGGGTTGAGAGTGGGGTTATATGAGAGCCAAAGGCTGATGGAGGCCCAGGCCTGACCTGGGCAGCCCGTCAGTATTGCTCAGCCGCTTCAAGCGGTCCAGCATAGTCTGAGTGGGGCCACCACCTCCATCCCCAAAACCGAAGAGGAAGGCACTGTGGTTGGTCCGCCCCTTGTCCCTGTTGTTGGTCACAGTCTTCAGCACCTGGATGGGTAGGGGCAGGTTAGCATGCGCCAGTGTAGGACAGAATATCCAGGTCAGAGAGGTCTGACCTGCCAGCCCCATTAGGCGTCCCCTCACCTCGTCCACGTTGCCCTGCATTCCATATGAATCTCCAGGTGGGAAGTGGACCAACACTTGGGAGCCATCCAGCCCCTCCCAGAAAAAGGTATGGTGCTGCCAGCAGGGAAGAGGCCAGAGTCAGGACCGAGAGAGAGAGAGAGAGAGAGAGAGAGAGAGAGAGAGAGAGGGAGCCTTCCACACCTGGTCCTGCCCTTGCCAGTTCTCCAATGCTGGCAGAAGCCCAAGCACTCTGGGTGGAGATTTTCTAGGGCCCATCAATAAGCCTGGGGAGAGGTGAATAGGCCAGATGGGCTCTAGGCTCATTGTGACCCTAACCACACCCCCACCCCAGGGGCTTGCTCACCGGGAAGGAGTTCACCAAATTCCAGCTCAATTTCTGTGTCAAGAAACGCTTGATGCCACAGCCGCGCATGATCTGGGGGAGCTGTGCTGAGTAACCGAATGTGTCTGGCAGCCAAAACTGCAGGGAGAAGGCTCTAGAGGTCCTGATGGAGGGAGGCTGCCCCAGCTTCAACCCCTCAACACTATGGGCTGAACCCCACACTCCCTATTCACAGCCTGGTGCAGGAGCTCCCAGCTACCTCAGTGCACATCTTTCCAAACTCCTGCAGAAAGAAGTTCTGGCCTTGCAGGAACTGCCTCACCATGGCCTCTCCACTGGGAAGGTTCCCATCCTGGCAGTGAAGGGAAAGGGAGGCAGCTGTGGTCAGTGCAATGGGAAACAGGCAGTTCTGGCCAACCCCATTCTCTGAAGAAGCCAGGAATGCTTAGACGCAGCATTACAGTGAGGCCCAGATAGTATTACTCTCCTCGCTTCAGACCTGACTGTTCACCTGCCTGAGGATGGTGCTGGGAACAGGGCCATGCAGAGAGTCTGTCACCCTGCTGGTGACCACCTCCTGGAGACCCAGATCTTGGGATTCCAGGGACTGATAAGCCTTGCCACAGTGGGGACATGAATGGCTTGCAGAAAGTCTCCAGCAAAGCCAAAGGGTGTTGCACCATACAAGGGAAGGTCACAGTCATATGGACCAAGGCTGAGGATGCCTAATGCACTCACCATCTCCACCCAGGTGCCCCCCACGGGCACAAATTGCCCACGGCAGGCAAACTCCTGGAGCCGGGCATGCAGGCCAGGGTAGCGGCTCTTTACCCACTCGAGCTGCTGTGCCTGTGGGGCACATGGAGTGAGAGCTGGGTCAGGAGTGAGTGCCAAGAACCCTGCCCAGTGCTGAGCATCTGGTCACTGTGGGTGGCTGAAGATAAGGGGCACCCTTGTCCCTTAGGCCTGAGAAGCCCCTAGAGCCTAGGGAATTCCAGGCCCACCCTGTGCCACGAAGCTGTCCTCTGACCTGGGAACAGGCAAAGATGAACTCAGTGTTCTGCTGCATGAGCTGCACGGCTGTGGCCCAGCTCCGGGCACATTTCCGCACAGTCTCCTTGAAGGGCCAAAGCCAGGCTACAAAGGGAGAGGAGTAGGGTTAGAGGATGTGACAAGGTCTGTGCTCTGCACGGATGCCCCAGCACCCTAGCAGGGCTAGCCTGGGCCTCCAGATAGTCATGCTACTAGCCCTCCTCCTGCCAGGTCTTCCACCTTGCAAAGCCCTGTGGTGTCTCTCCTGGGCTGTCACCTCAAATTGCTCCTGCAAGGTGGGAAGAAGGGGAGGGGAAGGACTAGGATAGGTCAGGACATGGAGAGTCCAGGCCCTGGAAGAGTCTGAGGTTCGGATCCCCTTCAAGAGGATCCTCTTAAGAGGCAGCACAGGCCCTCCACACATGAAAGGCTGGATCTGGTCACAGCACCCAGTATGGGCCTGTCTGGGTCAGCTATCCTGCAGGGGGTGCTCCAGCCTCTCTTGATCTCTAGGCCTCAAGTCCTACTTTCCCACCCCAGGACCACCCTTGTTATATGACTCAGAAATCTTAGCTTATCAATCAGTACAATGCGGAGCTTGTTAAAAATGTGGATTTCAGGTGGTGGAGAGGTTCGAGAGTGCCTGCCTTGCAAGTGTGAGGTCCTGAGTTCAAACCCCAGTACAGCAAAAAAAAAAAAAAAAGCGGATTTCACTGTGTGTGGTAATCTTAGATACTTGGGAGGCAGAGATCAGGAGGATCAAGGTTCAAGACCAGCCCAGGCAAAAAGTTCACAGGATTCCATCTCAACCAGTAAGCTGGCTACATGGGAAGTATAAAAGGGAATCTTGAAATCCAGGCCCACCTGGGCATAAATTTGAGATCCTATCTGAAAAATAACTAAAGCAAAAGGGACTAGGGGCATGGCTCAAATGGTAGAGCATCTGCCTAGTATGTGTGAGGCTGTGAGTTCAAACCCCAGTATCATACACCCCCGCAAAAGCCTTGTAGACACTGCAAACTCGCATCAGGTTTGAAGCTCAACTCCTGATCCTTTCAGGTTCCTGGGCCCCCATCTCAAATAATTCCACATCACTCCTGAGGAACCCTTGTCAAACCTCCTCACTCTTGCTCAGTTCAAAGGCCTCAGCCAGGAAGCCTCTCTGGACCCCACCCACCAAGCTGGGTTAAATGCCCTTCTGGCACTAGTCCTATATGCAGCACTGTGCCTGGCTTCTCTGATCATGTCTCTACAACACTATCCCAGTTGTTCAGCATAGGGCCTCAGAGGCATCAGGTTTTGCTGAAAAAATAAGTCAGTACCCATAGTCCAGTACCCCTGGCCATTTTATACCTATGGAAAACTAAGGTCCAAGGGGGGAAGAAATTGCTGAGGACCACCTCTAAGACACAACCAGGGCTTCCAGGGCACTCCTGCCTCCCCAGCCTTCCCGAACAGCTGCACCCTACCTGTATCAATGTGGCAGTGTCCTGTAGCATGGATGGTATGTTGGCTTTCACCTCCACGTTGGCTAAAGAACTTGCAGGCCAGGGCCTGGGCCACTGGGAAAGTCTGGGGCTGGGCAGGATCACACAAGTTCACCATCTGGTTGGCTGTGTACAGGGCCTGGAAGCTTCGCTGGTTGTTCTCCCCGAGGCCCTGTAGCAGGGTTCTGTCCCTTAATGTTTCCTTAAGTGCCACGCCAGGATTCTCAGCATAGCTTTCCCACTTCTACCCTTTGCTCCTGCTGGGGGCCCCCCACTGAGCATCATCTCCCTTTACATAGGGAAACTCTCTTCCTGCTCTGGATTTCCAGTGATGTGACCCAAGAAACAACCTGCCTGGAGCAGGGCTCCACAGGGTAACAAGGTAACAGGGTACAGGTACCTTGGCTATGCCCAGCAGAAGCTCCAGATCCACCAGGAGTTTGTGCACATCCCGGTGGAACACAGCCAGCTCAGCCCGGCTTAGCTGGAATGTCTTCTCAGGGTCAGGGGCTGCAATCATAGTCCCCTTTCCAGCCCCCAGGAGCCCATTGCAGGCTACTTCCACATAGAGGGTCAGGCTACAAATGTAGAGAGGCAGTCTAAGGCCAAGGAACTGGAAGAAGAGTCTGGGGGCTTTGGGAAGGGGCAGGATGGATTCAGTTTACACTTCCCCATTTGCCACCAGGACCAACAGAGAATTCTGTGGGGTGTGTGTGTGTGTGTGTGTGTGTGTGTATGTGTGCTAGTAATCACAATAGTAACACCAGTCCAAACTCATGTCCTGCTAGTGTTCTGCCTTGGTCAGAGAGGTCAGTGTCCAAGTTTGAACAGCCTCATATTTCCAAAACTGTCTGTGCAAAGTGCTGTCGTAGTCTCAGAGCCCTCTTCCATATTAAAAGCATGTTTAGATCTCCCAAGACTGACTTTTCAGCTGACTATGTGAGGATGGATGTACTGAAGGTGGAGGTGCTTCTGAGGTCAAAGACAGGATGCAGGGACTCACTCACTTTCGGGGATCTCCTTCTCCTAGCTTGTCAGTCAGGACATAACTGGTCTTTTCACCCTCTTTAGTCAAACCCTGGTAGGGAGGGGAGAAGAAAGATAGGGCCTGAGACTGCTGGAAATGTGTAACATAAAGCTGGAGAAGGCCAGATGACTCCATCCAGTTTCCAGCCCTATGTCTTCTCTTCCAGGTAGGGCTGAGATCCACAAATCAGGGACCCCTAATACTAAGTGCCCCATCTCCCATGGTAGCCAGTACCATGACTACCACATAGCACTTGTTTGCTGGCAGAAAAGCCCATGGTCTTATGGGAAGTGTCCTGGCCAAAAGTTAGGAGGCCTGGGAGTAGATTTTGGAGGCCTTTGCACCCCTGAATAAACGAGCTAGGCACAGTGGTTCATGTCCGTAATCCCAGTTACTTAAGAGGCTGAGGCAGAGGGATAGCAAAATTGAGGACAGCCTAGACATCTTAATGGGACCCTGCTTCAAAATTGGGGGTGGGGGGGAAGGGTGGGAAAGTTAGGTTGATGATAGAGCACTTGCTTAGCATGTGTGAGGCCCTGACGAAAGGAAAAAAAAAAAAAAAGAGGAAGCTCCATGAATCTAGGGACTGATTTGTCTGCTACATTCTTAGTACTTAGCAACGAGGGCACCAGGAGATAGTGAAGTGCTGAGCCAGTGACGGGAGGGCAGGCAAGGTTCTGCCTTCTTTTAGGACAGGAATAACAACAGTTCTAACCCCAGATTGAGAGTTCAATTTGGAGTGGAAACTGTGAACTAGTGAACGAACCTCTATATATCTCAGTATCTTAGTCTGTAAATGGATATAAAAATTTGCCATATAGGATTACAAAGATTAAACCTGGTATGACATTTAACATCTAACACTGCTTATGGGGAGTGGGCAGGAGAGATCTGTTACTTCAGGGGAAGATAATTTAAATGTCTTACTTTATACTATCTCCAACTGTTGGAAAATTGTCCCTAGAAGTATGTACTACGTACAATAAAAACTAATTTGTTGAAAACTAAGGACTCACTACACAGATGCCCAAGCAGCACTTCCCCAGTTCTGAAACCACCCCGCAGGCAGAGCAATTCAGCTAGGGCTTCTTCAAAAACCAAGGCTGAAATATGGCCATATCTAGCCAGAGGGCAGGCCCCCTCACCTGAACAGGTTCCCCATCACGCCAGATCAGGCCTTCTCCATCACTTTCCCAGCAAAGGTGAACTTCCTGGCCCACCCATGCCTCTGGGATAATCAGCTCCACCCGGAACCAGCAGGTCCACCACCTGCAAGAGAGTCGTCCTGATGGACCTAAGGGTGGAAACCTGTCCTTCTGGTATACTTCCTTGGATGTTAGCAGGGGCTTGAGACTTTCTCCAAGCATCTGCAGCATCACAGGATCTAAGCCTCAAGAAAACAGCCAGCAAGGTTCGGGAAAGAGGCAGGGGAATCAGCGGTCTACCTAAAGGGGTGCTCAGAGGCAGAGGCAAAGGGGGATGAAAACTCTCCCATGAAGGCTCTAAGGGAGCAGGGAATTGTTCCCAGTAGAAGGCGCAGCTCTGTCCATGTAGCTAAGAGCAGACACCCGACCATGGAGGCGCGGCCCTTGGCTGCGGAAAGCAAGACTGGAGGGGCGGGGCTTCCCCAGGCTGGGCGTTACCCACGTGGGTCCGAAGCTGTCGCCGACCTGCGCGGGGCTATAGTCCCGCTGGACCGCCTCCTGGTAGGGAAGCCTCTCCGGTGTCAAGAAGCTGGAGAGTGCGGCCACTGGGCAGCTGTCGCCGAAGAGCCTGGGCGGAAGGAGCCGGTGGGCGCGCGCTCGAGGCCGTCCCCTTCCCACCGTGAGCCAGCGGAGGGGAGGGGGGCGGAGAGTGTTGTGCTTTCCCTCCATCTATCGCTGTGAGGGCTGCCTGGAAGCTCTGCAGCACATTCCACCCTATACCCTCTCCTCCCGGCCCCCTGCCCTGCCCGTGGCGGGCACTTTATCCCGCGGCCGGGACAGCCACAGCCTGAGTTTCCCTCCGGAATTAAAGGCCGAGGGGCGCGAATGTTCTCGCCCGCTCTCCGGGCGAGAGGCCACACCTGCCGCGGAGGTTACAGTCGGTGAAGTAGAGTGGCGACACGAATTTCTCCACCCGCTCTAGCGTGGTGCGCCAGTGCTTCAGGGCCGGCACTGCCGCCATTGTTGTGCGCCCACTTCTCTTCCCGGAAGACTCTTCTTGCTCCCCGCGCAGTCCGCAGCCTGGAACCAAAGGTTCCGGCGTCAGACCGGCGCTCTTCAGCCCCGGGCATCTTTTCTTGGAACACCGGCGGCTCTCGAAAGCGCAGCAGCTGTCTGAACTTTGAACCGAGAGCTAAAAGCTACACGCTGCGCTTTCGAGGCTCTCCTGTCCTAGTCGAGCTGCAGGCTGAAGGGTAAGTTAACCCTAAATAAAACAGGATGTTTGACGAGCCCTGCCAAGTCCTGGGACAGACTTAGGACCATTCGTCTAGCACAGTGGGCGGGAACTTAGGCGGCTGCAGATCCAGGCTTGGAAGTAGCAATTGCTTGGCTTCCAGTCCAGGCTCGAATCTTACCTTGGCGCTCTCTGCAAATGGGAAACCGGTGTCTGTTCGTGTGGAAAGACTCAGGCTGCCGCTTGGGTGTTTTCCTACTGATTGGCAGAATGTTGAATAACGGGGAGAAAGGGCTTTGCATCCCAGTTAATACCCTCCTCCCTTCCTGTTACTTTTTTTTTTTTTGGGTGGGTGGGTGGGCAGTATTGGAGTTTGAACTCAGGGCTTCACGCCTGCTAAGCAGGTGCTCTTATCGCTTGAATCAGTACGCCAGCCCTTTTGATGAGATAGGGTGGCGGGCAAACTATTTTCCTGGGGCTGGCTTCGAACCCTGATCCTTCTGATCTTTACCCCCCAAATAGCTAGGATTATAGACGTGAGCCATCGGCGTCTGGCTTGTTACATGCTTTATGAATGTTGGTAACTCACGCCCACTATCAGGAACTTTGGAAGGATTTTGATTTCAGATGGCAGATCAACAGCCATAGCGTTGACTCTCCCAAACAGGCTTGTAGAGTCCAGGGACGCCTAAGTGTCATAAACAGAACTCCAAGTTTATTCTGATCCCTAGTACACCACTGGCAGTTTAATTTTTTTTCCTCCTAGCATTACCAGAGTCTTCCTGTCTATAAAACCGTTAGGAAGAAAAAGTATATACACAACATTAGCCCTGATATTTTAATGGAAATAGTGACCAAGTTTACATTTCAAGTGCAAGTCACATGGAGAGGTGACTATGTGGAATTCCGTATGTGATTTAAAATAAAGATAACTTTTTGTTAAATATAATACAGATTGGGTCGAGTGTGGTGCTCAGATGCCAGGTGGCTGGAGGAATAAAAATGCTGCTTGTGAAAACCCTGGCTGCAGGTAAAAGTACTCATTTATAGTTGCATTGGTAGAGCTGGAGTTTTCTCCTGAACTGGCCTTGAAATCCTGTCCTGATAGGCAGGAAGGTACTGTAGTCACAAACACTAGGCAGAGGCGGCAATAGCTGGGGTTGTCCCTGGTCAGGCCCCAACCAGTTTCCCCATAGTACCAGGCCAATGTCACCTTTCCTGAGGGAGGAGAATAGGTGAATTATGGCTGAGAAAGCTACAAGGTCCCTCTCCCCACTCAGTACACATCACTTTTCTCCCAATTCAGGAGAATTGGGAGTATGAACCCTACTCTTAGGTTCATAGAGTCTCTTATTCTGCAACAAAAAAGCCTAAAAGTGGGGCATTGTGGTGCACACCTGGGACCCAAGTTCAAGATCAACCTGGGCAAAACAGTTTGCAGCTAACCTAGTCACACAAACCCTGTCTCAGTCTTACCTTGTGTTTTGATAGGAGCCAAATTTTTATTTTTTTGAGTGGGAGCTGGGTTTGAACTAAAAAAAACTGTTCTTTATGGTGGTCTTGGGGATTTTTAGTTAAAAAGGAGATAAACAACACTGGATTACAACTATGACTAAGGTGATGGTTGCTGGGGAAAAAAAAAATCCAGAATACTCTGAGGGGCTAGTTGGTCTTTGTCCAGGAAGTCTAGGCTGACCACATATAAAACCTCTAATCATTCATGTTTAAATGTATGCCAGCTTAAGAAAATGAATCAGCTGGGCACCAGTGGCTCATGCCTGTAACCATTCTAGCTACTCAGGAGACCGAGATCAGGAAGATCACGGTTGGAAGCCACCCCAGGCAAATAGTTGGCGGGAGATCCTATCTCGAAAAAAACCCATCATTTAAAAAAAAAAAAAAAAAAAAAAGCTAGTGAAGTGGCTCGAGGTGTAGGTCCCGAGTTCAAACCCCAGTATTGGGGGGGGGGGGAAGAGAAAAAATGTATCAAATATCCCTTCCCTTCCAACCCTACTTACAACACACACCTTGTACACACTTCTTTCAAAGACTGGTGTGGTATTTTAGGATTTCAGGTTACTTTCATTCCTAACAAAGATAAACCCAAGTACTGAAAAAACGAAGCAAGTATCCTATTTTTAAATTTTGAGATATTTTGTTTTGAGACAAGTGTAAACAGTAATTAACTACTTACAGCAAAATCCTGTTTGTTCCCTGGATAAAGAGCTGAAACCAAAATCCCTGCTCCACAGTAGCTCCCTGGTGAGGACAAGGGACTTGGGTTGAGAGTTTATTCCTTAATGTAAGAACCAATCTTTATTTATTTACAAAAAAAAAAAAAAAAAAAAAAAGTTGGGGTGAAAGGGAAGACAAGTTTTACACAAAAGTACTACAATGGTAACTCCCTTTGGTAAAAAGTGTAATAAATGTCTTGTACATCTCCTCTTAAGTACTAAATCTGAAGCCACATAGTACTATGGTACACAAGAAGCTAAAGCAGTTATGCTAGCACATCAAAGCATATTTCTTTTAATAAAAAATTGACAGTATATACATTATTTACAAAAAAAAGTTAAAATTGTGTGTGTGTGTGTGCACGTGTCAGAGTAAAGCTGGTGGATGGCACTAGGGTAGACTAGTAAAGAAACAGATACAAAACAGTTCCACGGGAGCTAAAAAGGATGTTGAGGTTGAGAACCAGGAGGAAGGGTGGGCAAGGGATTCGTCAGAAATCAAATCCACAAGATGATCAATCCCAAAGCCGAACTGCAGGTCCCAGATAAAACCAAATGGGTGATCGTAGATGTGCTCAAGTGACCAAAAAAACAAAACCCAAAAAATCAAATCCAGTCTTTTCCTTTTTGGGGGAGAGGAGCAGTGACCATCACAGAATCCATCTGGTCATTAAGTGATTCCTCGGTCTGTTTTGTAAATGCACCTCCATCTAGTCAAAGTGTGATCTGTATCCATTTCCCTTACTGATGGTCAGGCCACACAGAAGACTAGTCGTAGCTCTGCTGGTATATGCAAGCAAGCTGTAAGTTTCTGTGCTTGCATGGACTTTCTTCTCCTCCAGAGCAGGCTAATACCCACAAATCCTTGGGAAAAGTACCAGCTCCAGCTTTGTAAGGTATCCACGTTCCTATGAGTATCCCATTTGGAGCCAGGCTGCAATGGTGGCCATGTCCCAGGGAGGCTGGAAAGGCATCTTCCTTGCTTCTTCAGTGTGTGAGTGCACAGGTCCACCCACACCCACACACACACACACACACACGCGCGCCTCCTCCAGTTATCCACTCTGGCTTTGTAGTTAAGGGGCTTTGAATACTGTGCCGTATTTGACACGATACTTGTTAATGCTCACAAAGTGCAGGGTCTCTGTGTCACAGGTGGTGGTACAGGGCACCAGGCCCTCCAGCCCCTCACCCATGAGCCACTTGCTGGTTTCCGCTGCCATTTCCCGAGGCACATGCTCCTTGGTCCATTTATCTACCCAGGCCTGGAACCTCTGATGTAGACGCTTGCTTACACGCTCATGGGACTATAAAACAGAAAAAGAAAAAAAAAAAAAAAAAAAAAAGAAAAGAAAAAAGTAGGACCAAAACAAAAGAAACCCTTCTAATACAAAACTGATTTTCACCTAAAGTAGCAAAGGAAAGATGTGGGCTCAACTTTTAGATACTACTTGTTTAAAAAACAAGCAAACAAACAAACAAAAAAAACCAGGCAGTGGGGATTCAGTTTAAAGACGTAATAACATAGAACACTGTAATGAGATGGAAACCCATAAAACCACCCCAAAAATAATGCCTATACAGAGCAAGGATGGTGGCATACATCTGTGATCCCATCACTAGAAGGCAGGAGTATAACGAATTTGAGGCCAGCCCAGACTACATAGCAAGATGTCTCAAAAAAAAAAAAAAAAACTAAACAAAAAACAAAACTAAAAGCCGGTACAGGTTCTAGAACGAACAAGCACAGTACTTCTCAATTTCAGCATACATTAATATCACCTGGAGAGTTTGTTAAAAATACAGATTTATTACTTGGTTCCATAAATTCCCCCTCCATCACAAGACCCCATACATTCTAACTCGGCTCTACCAGTGAGCTACACCCTCAGCCACAAATGTGCATTTTAAATCAGTTTAGCTGGCTCTAACCCCAGGTGAGCTACAATGCATGGCACGGGGACCTACTCTTAAGTTAGACAATGCAAGGCAAATGGCTTAAAACTTTACTGTCCTTCCCAATATTACCCCATCCTGGCCAGCAGAGTGCACACACAGCACATCTTCAGTGCAGGCTGTGGTTCCACTTACGCACCTGGTAAATATTTACTGGTATCCACATGCAAGGCACAGAGAGATACAAAAATAAAAAGCGGTGTTGCCCAGCTCCCCAAAGAATCCAAGTTAGAGACAAGTAGGCACAAAACACAGCAGCTACACTCAGTGTGCCAAGATAACTATGTTGAACCACTCACCCTATATAGCTACCTTGAATGTTCTGTAGTCCTTTTAAACATAACCAGTTAAAAACAGAGTGCTTGATTTGCCTGAAAAACCTAGGAACCCCTTCCTATTAATATATGTATCCCCCAAAACAAGAAAACAACTCAAACTGAACCAGGCCTTTTGCTTCATATTTAACCCATCACCACATCCTGCCACTTGTAGCTCCATTTGTGTGTGTGTGTGTGTGTGTGTGTGTGTGTGTGTGTGAGAGAGAGAGAGAGAGAGAGAGAGAGGAGAGAGAGGAGAGAGAGAGAGAGAGAGAGAGAGAGAGAGAGACTGGTGTTTGAACTCAGACTTCGTGCTCACAAAGCAGGTGCTCTACCACTTAGGCCACACTTCTAGCCCATTTTGCTCTAGTTATTTTAAAAAGGGAGCCTAGCAGCTATTTGCCTAGGCTGGTCTCAAACTGAGATCCTTCTGATCTCAGCCTCCTAAGTAGCTAGGATTACAGATGTGAGCCACCAGTGCCCAGCTCTTCACTTAACTACAACTCCACTGCCACCCAAGCAGTCTGGGTGTTCACATCTGGACAAAAACTGCCTTTAGTGGTCAGTCCTTCCAACTTTGTACCCATATCCACCCCCATTCTCTGCATAGCCACCAAATCACCTTGTCAAAAATGCCCCCAGTGCACCTCAAACAGAATTCAAAGAGTGGCCTGAGACAACCTGCCTACCCTTCCAACTGCAAGATCCCTCTTCACCCTTGAGCCACAGTGGTTTTAATTTTCACAAACATGCCAGTGCCTTTCTTCCTTTCCAGCCCTGCATTTGCCATTTTTTTTTCTTTTCTTTTTATTTTTGGTGGGATTAGGTTATGAACTCAGGCCTTCATGCGTGCAAAGCAGGTGCCCTGCTGCTTGAGCCATACCGCCAATCCATTTTGCTCTGGTTATTTTTGGAGATGGAGGTCTTGTGAACTATTTGCTCAGATTGGTCTCGAACCATGATCCCTGCAATCTTAGCCTCCCAACATGAAGTGTTCTTTGCTTAGGAAATAACTTCCCTCAACTCTTCACCATGTTGTTTTCAAGGGTTATCTACTTAGAAAAGTCTCCAACAAAAGCAAGGCCTGCATGCCAGTTACCCTTGATTCCCTGCCTGCTATGTCCTTGGCATATGTATCACAATACCTCATTTGCTCTACTTCACGGCTGGATTCCAGGGCCTGGCACAACACCCACTAAGTAACTGTACCAGGAAGGTTTCACAATTGAGATGGGATATGAAAATGGGGAGAATTCGTAAAATCAGATACTACTTGATATGTAAATACTGAGCCAAGCTTTACCAGAAGGTGCCACCAGGGATTTACCTATTACCTACTCTTATGGGCTGAACACTGAAATCCTAACCTCCAGTGCCTCAGAATATCATCTTATTTGGACATAAGGAGAAACCTCATAGATCCAGGAACACCAAGGACAGCTAAAAAAGCACCAGAAGCTACTCTCCCCTCACAGCCCCCCAGAAGGAACCAACCTTGCTGGCCACAAATCTTGGACTTCTCCAGAACTTCCAAGACAATAAATTTCTATTCTTCATGTCAGGTAGCCTGTGGTACTATTACAGAATTCTTAAGAGAACTAACACACCTTCTTATCCAACAATTCTTTGTTCCAAGAATGGGTTTTTAGAAAGGAAGAGAAACAATGAGAAGGCTAGGCCCCCTCTGGCCCCCTGGTTGGGGAGGCAGATAAATAACAGAAATTCCAGTTACTGGTTCTCACCTGATGAGCCCGAAGTAAGGCAGTCCTCCGATACATGTAATCCTCTGACTTGATCACATATACCATTTTATAGGAGTTCAGCTTGAATCTACACTCCAGCTTATCCAGGCTGTCCACATTTTCCATGGTCTTTTTGCTGTTTCCTTCTTTCCCTTCCTTTTCCTGTTGCTCTCGGCCTCGCTGACACTTCCGGATCCGCCGCAGATTCCTACAAAGCAGAAAGCCCCGCAGCACGGGAGTTGATTCAGATGCAGATTTCCATGACTCTTAACCAAATGAACTTTCTTAGTTACATGCACTTATCACAATTTTAGTTACATATATACAAAATGTTCAATGGCTTCATTGTAAAATAATTTAAAATACACAGTAAAAAGTAGCAATCCCCAACCATCTCTTAATCTGTAATTCTCCCAATCTTTCTTGTTTGGGCAGAGGTAGCCACTGTCTAACAGTTTTGATTTGAAACATCTAGGTTTTCTGGATTTGCACATATAATTACTCACTGTACTTGTTTTGAGATTTGTTTTATTGACAAAACATGTATTTCTAACCTCAACTTTTCACTCACTATTGTAATTTTCCCCATTTTACTCTACTGATTTGCCTTATTCTCCTTAACAATTGCAAGCAGTGTATCAATAATTTTAACAATTCCTTAATTTAACAATTTAACAATTCCTTAATACCTCTCTCAATTGGGGTTCTTCATGTGAACCACATAATACAGAAAAATATTTGAAAGCCTATTTTTAAAAATTCTCCCAAAAATATAACTATGCTATTTTACATACATAGGAAAGAAGATAATTCACACTGTGGATCCAGGAAAGGGTGGAAGAATGGAGTTTAGAGCCCAATTCTCTTCAACATTCAGTGGAGAGATCAGCTAAACAATTATATTATTTCTGATACTTTGCTATTTAAAACATCACTTCAGTGATGGTGGCACTGGGGTCTGAACTCAGGACCTCATGCTTGCTAGACAGGCACTCTACCACTTAAGCCACTCAGCCAGGCTACTCCAGTGAGTAGTCTTGATTTTTTTTTTTTATTATTGTACTAAGTATACATTGTGACACTAAGGATACATTGTGACATTTACTAAAGTTTTGACAATATATCATAGTTGAATTCACCCTCCTCCATCATTCTTTATCTCCCCTTCCCCCACAGTGAATATTTGTGTATGCACAATTTCTGTAGGATAGTAATTCTGAGGTCCGAGGACCCCTGGAGATGTCCAAGACCCTTCCAGGAGATCTATGACATCAAAATTATTTTCAAATAATACTAAAAGATTATCTTCCCTTTTTCACTGCGCTGGCATTTGTAGTGGGATGTAGAAAAGTAATGGTGAAAAAAACAGGCATAGCAGTACACTTCTGTAATCCTGGCACTTGGGAAGCTGAGGCAGGAAGATTGCAAGTACGAAGCCAGCCAGGAAGATCTTGCCTCAGAAAAAAAGAAAAGAGAAGTCAGGTGTGGTAGCTCAAGTCTGTAATCCTAAACTACTCAGGAGCAGAGATCAGGAAAATACCAGTTTGAGGCCAACAAAACGTTCACAGGATCCCATCTCAACCAATGGCTGGGCATAGTGGCATGTGCCTGTCATCCTAGCTATGCTGGGATGCATAAATAGGAGGACTGAGGTCCAGGCTGCAAGAGGGGTTGGCAGCACAGCATGGCTCAAGTGGTAGAATGCCTGTCTGCCTGCCCCATAAGCATTATGCCCCGAGTTTAATCCCTATACTGCCAAAAAATAAAAAACATTAATAATGGTGAACAAAAATGTTGGTGGGGTAGCACCAAACCATACTTAAAAAGTCATCATTCTTGGGGGGAAGGAGGATAAAGGAGAATGGTGGGAAGGGGTGAATTCAACCCCTTGATATATTGTAAGAACTTTTATAAATGTCAAAATGTACCCCCCAGTACACAGTAATTAAATAAAAAAAAACAAGTCACTATTCTCTGCCTGTGCACCAGCACTCAAGTGACAGGGCCAGTTTTGCTTAAGAATGTCCTTGAAGCAGTTAACATTTTTAATGTATTCCTGCCTCCTCAGTTCCTATCTTTTAAATATGTTGAATAATAAGATGAGAAAGGCATATAAAGCACCTTTGTGTATTAAAGTATAATGGGATTCTTAAAAGCACTTGAGCAATTTTGTGAGATGCAAATGAATCCCCACTTTTACCTGAAAGTTAGCCTTGAGTTTGTGACATTTTCTCAAAAATGAACATGGCAGCCTGTTACTTCAAAGAAAACAACTAACAGTTTGTGCCAATGGTAACATTTGAACATTCAAGCAAAACCGAATTTTGGTAAGCTGATAGCAGGGAACACAAGCTTGGCATCTTCCCAGTATTTAGATATGTGTTGATGAAGTCAATGGCAGTAGAGATGAGTGTGACACTTGGAAGAACTATGGAAATTGTGTCAACATTTAACATTAGTAAATTATTATCTTTCATTCAAGATATGAAGTAAATCAATTGTTTTTGACAAAACTGCATGAAAAGCTCATTGACAGTTTCATTGTCATATCAAAGAAGACTATCCACAATTATCTGAAAGGACATGAAAACAGTTCCTTTTTTGGCTACATACTTGAGGAAGGCCAGATCCTTCTTTTATATTAAGCAGATACGCAAAATGTAAAACAATGTCACTTTTTACTAATTTTTTGTTTCAAATTAAGTATCATGTATGAAAATATAGTGGGTTTAGTATTATTTTTAAATGTATTTCTCAGTTTTAATCTCAAATGTTTAAATATTACTGTATAATCTCCATAAACAAAAGCTCTTTGGGGTATTCAAGCCCTAGGAGTGTAAGGGGCTTCAAAACCAAAAAACTGAAAACCTTAGCTTAAGATAGATCATTGTAAACCAAAGTTCTGGCTCTTTTAATAGTTGTGTTTAGCCAAGCATGGTGGTACATGCCTTTAATCTCAGCCCTCTAGAGGCGGAGGCAGGAGGATTTCAAATTCAGGTTCAGACTGGGCTGAAGAGTAAGTTTGAGCCTGGGCTACATACTAAGACTGTCTCCAAACAAAAGTGAGATGTGGTGATTCAAGGCCTGTTTTCTAAGCTATTTTGGAGGTGGAGACTAGGGGTGCAGCTCAGTTCCAAGGCTGGCCTACAGAAACAGTTAGCAAGACCCCACTTAACTAGTAAAAAGCTGGGAATGATGGAGCATGCCTGTCATCCCAGCTATGTAGGAAAAGTAATAGGAGGATAGAGATCTAGGTAGGCTCAGTCATAAAAGCAAGACCCTACTGGAAAATAAACTAAAAGAATAACTAAAGTAAAAAGGCCTGGGGCCCTCAAAAAGTTGTATTTATTCTGATTTTATTTGTAAGTGGGAACTGTTGAGACTTAAACTTGTTTATATTTACTGTATGTCTTAAATTAGCAAATGTTTTCTACTTATATATGTCCTCTTAGATTTTTACCTGTAGTTCATACTATAAAGTAACCAAAAAAAAATTTTTTTTTGTTTTGATGGTACTAGGGTTTGAATTTAGGGCTGTACTCTTCCTAGGCAGGTACTCTGCCACTTTACCATGTGAGCCACTCCACAGCTCTTTCTTGTGTTGGGTATTTTTGAGATAGGGTCTTCCCCTTTTTTCTCTTTGCCCAGGCTGAACATGAACCACCATCCTCCTGAGTAGCTAGGATCATAGTCATGAGCCTCTGGTGCCCTGCGCCCAGTAATATCTTCAAGTTCATAATTGATAAGACATTGCTCACTCTAATTTTAATATTTGCTTAAATCTGCTTAAATTTCAAAAACTGCAGAATGAGTTACCAGGTGTTCCATTTAAATATTAATTTCAGATGGGAATAAAATTAACAGATATAATTAGTAGAGCTAATATGAATTAAATGTCTCTTATGTTTGGGGGGGAAAAAGTCAAGATGATACAATGAAAGTAGATGCATGATCCTTTGGGCCTGTTTGTTAACTGATTATAATGTTTAGTGGCTGTTTGACCACTCATCAGTTCCCATTATTTATTATGTAATTTTTTTTTTGAGACAGGGTCTTGCTAGGTAGCTCAGGCTAGCGTCAAACTGGTGATCTGCTTCCCTCCACCTCCCAAATGCTAGGATTACAGGAATCTGTCACCTCACCCAGATTAAATAATCAATTTTTAAATTCTTGTAACATGGGACCCTTACCTATCTTTTAAAATCATGTGGCTTGAAGTTAATAAATCAACTCAAATGGTTCTTTCATACACTTGTGCAACGCTAAAATGAATGGTTTGCCTTGTGCTGTCAATTATAGCTGAAGCTGGAACCTGATTTTAGGATTCTACCTCCCAGCAGTTCGTTATGTGAAAATTAGTTTCTACCAATGTTTGTGTTTCCTAACCTGACTACAAGTGAACAGTTTTTAGTGTAAAATATTTCAAAGTCTTCTAAAGTTGAATACTGCATGAATGTATGTGATTAAAATACTCGTCTTTATGTCAATATTAAAAAAAATTCTAGGGTGAAGATTCTTCCATATTTTAACTGCCCTGACCCAGAACGACTGTATTGGTTTCTTAATTTTGTCTCAAAGTGCACGAGAGTTCTTCCTTCCCCATACTGTCTACAATATGCAGTATAAACTTTTTTAAACTCTTCCTTGGACTGGGGGAGTGGCTTAAGTTGTATAGTGTCTGCATAGCAATTGTGAGGCCCTAAATTTAATCTTCAGTACCACAAAAAAATAAAAGAAAATAAACAAACAAAAAAAACCCTCTTCAAATGTGGTAAGAAATATACCATGATATGTTTTCTGTCATGTGCACAGACTTCACACCTGTTTTGTTGAGAGGAGCATGGCACACAACAACTGCTCAAAATGCTAAATGAATCAGACTAGAAGACAGGCAGGGCCCTTTCTGGTGGAACTCTTTCCATGTTATCATTAGGATTAAGTATAGTAATACTGGAATAATATATCTTTAGGACATGAGACTTCACTTCCAAAGTTGGGAAGAAAGAAAGCTATTTTACTTCTTTTCTTTTCTTTTTTGAGACAGACCTCATTAGGTAGCCGAAGCTGGACTCGAACTTGTGATTCTCCTGTCTCTGCCT